GTTTCCAGTGGAAATTCTACGGAAAGAAGGGAGATGCCACATAGCAGCATGGACAGTAAGAATACACAGCAGCATGTGGGGACATCAGAAGCACATCCCACAGCCAGTGGCTAGAGGAGATATTGTCGTCTTTGAGCAAGGTGAGAGGAACCTGAGGCACTACGTCACTGCTGATATTGCCTTGGGGAGAAACCTGTAGACTACACTGAATTTGAGTGCTAGCATGGGGCATGGTGTCCACCAATGCTGTGAAGGGAGAGCACACTGCTTTCTTTGCATCCCCTGACAAGGGTGCCTGGGAACCAACAGGGAGGAAGAGTTATCTTCATTAGGTGAGTAGAGGCAGGTGCAGCTCACATGAACATGACCAGGGGATTTTATCAGAGGGATAAATATGTGGTCCTCATTGACTTTGAGCGTGGCCTGGAGGGTTGGTAGGGGTGGGGCCTGTGAGGTGTTCCCTCCTCTCATTCTACCCTGGGCACCAGGAATCAAGCTGCCAATGCAGATCACCGACAGGCAGCTGGCTTTGGGAATGCGTAGGCTCTCTCTGTGAATGGGGTAGGCTAGCAGAGCTGAGAGTGGATCCCCTGTTGCCTGTGATTGTGGGAGCTCTGCTTACTGTGACTATGGGAATTATGTGACTGCATGATAGGATTCAGATGGAGCTGGGTCTCTGGGAAATCCTTGTGTTTAGCTCCAGAACCTGAGAGTTCCCTGAGTGCCCGGGGTGGATCACTGCAAAGGGTTCTCTACTCACACTGAGGACCACACTGTTCCTTCCTGTGGTTCATTGCCTGTGGTGGTGGGGTGTGTAGCAGCTGTGGGCTCACCATGAGCACTGATCACCATGGCAGAGAGGAGACGAAGCTGTGATCATGCTACCTGATGTGATTGTACGCTCCCCAATGCTCACAGCAGATTTACCATGCCCGACTTGGGGGTCACATCGGACTCATGACCCACCCAGCTGCACTGACCAGAGCTCCCTCGCCCCACCCAGTGCACACCTCTGGATGTCCATTGAAGAAGTAGATTCACCACTATGCCACAGAGGCTTTTCAAAGAGAAAATACATTGTAGGAGAAAACCTACGCGTGTTTCTACAAATGCCTAAAAAAAATGTAGAAATACAAGATACATGAACAAGGAAGACAATATGACTTCCCAAAAGGATTACAACATCACTTCAATATTAGAATGTGAAGATGAAAAGATGGATGAAGTGTTTGAATACACACAGTCTACCAAAATTGAGTCATGAAGATAGAAAACCTAAATAGACCAAATCAAGATGCAGACTGGACCAATAATACAGACCTCCCAAACAGAAAATCTCAGGAACAGATAGTTTCACTGCCGAATTCTACCAAAATTTGAAAGAAAACTAATTGTAATTCTTCTTAAACTATAAATATTAATTCCAAAGCCAGGAAAAGATAAAACAAAGAAAGAGAACTACAGACCAATATCCCTGATAAAAATAGATGCACAAATCCTAAACAAATTATTAGCCAATCAAACCCAACAACATACCAGAAAGATCATTCACCATAGGAAACGGCTTCCGCCAAAGCAGTCTCAGTTGAGGACACACTCCTCCTGGAGACAGGGTGTGGCCACAGAAACTGATTCAGGATAGTAAATGACCTATTATAAAGAAGAGCATTGGGTTCTCACAGGAACGTGTGCTCCCATGAGGACAAGCAGCTACTTTCCCAGACTTGCTTTTCTAGTACTCCAAGTCACAAGGTGCCCCATCAATGAATTGACAATCATGTCTGAAGATTATCAATCAATGTTATAAGTAATCTTAGAGTTATATGAGCATGTGCATGTACTGTACAAGGCAGATGAAATCCATGTCAATAAGATATGCATGCTGGGAGCGGTGTTGATCATCCCAGTGACATTCTTCAGAGTAAGAGTTCCCATGTCTGGTCTCTCCTTTCAGTTGCTACACCCCCAACAATTCCCCAAGAACAAAGTGGATTTATCCATAGTATGTGGAGATGGCTCAACATGTTCAAACCAATGAATGTGATACATCACATTAACAAATCACAGAATAAAAATCATGATTATCTCAATAGATTCAGAGAAGGCATTTGATATAATGCAATACTGTTTGATAACAAAAACCTTAAGCAAATTGGATATAGAAGGAATAACCCTCAACAAAATCAAAGCAATATATGACCAATCCTGTGGGGAGCATCTGGGAGCAACTCGGACTAGACTAAGTTACTGGAATTAAGACTTATTCTATGCATCTGCTCTCCCACAATATGGCGCTGGGAGAGGAGGAAACAGCTTCTACACAGCTGCCTCCAGTTCAACCAATAAACAGCAGGACCTGCTCCTGATTGGAGGAGAGCAGCGTACTCGGCGTGTGGGTAGCAGAGTTGGGATTGGTGGAAGAGGACTATAAAGGAGGAGAGAGACAACATGCACCAGGAACATCTAAGAGGAACATCTATCTGAAGGAACACCTGTGTAGCCCCCGAGAGAGCCGGCCGGCGGTGTGCCGCACCCCCGCGGAAGTGGGGAAAGTGGCAGGGGGAACCGCCCTTCCACGGAGGTGGAGGGACGGTAGCCAACCCGGGAAGAACCTGCAGCAAACCCGGGGAGGGCCGAGCAGACGAAAGAACAGCGCAGGGTCCTGTGTCGTTCCTCCGCGAAGAGGGGGAGCGACAAAATCCAAAGCCAGCATTCCATTTAATGGAGAAAAGATGGAACATTTCCACTAAGATGCAAAACCAGACAAGGATGCCTACTTTCAGCACTACTATTCAATTTAGGACTGAAAAAGTTTTTTGTCAGAGCCATTAGGCAAGAAAAAGAAATCCAAGTGATAGAAATTGAAAGGAGGAAGTCAAATTATCCCTGTATGCAAGATGACATGATTTTAAATATACAGAAACAAAGTACTCCACTCTGAAACTACTAGATCTCATAAAAGAATTTTGTAAAGTTTCGGAGTATAAAGTCAACACACAAAAATCAATAGATTTTGTATATACAAGCAATGCCTTGATTGAGAAAGATCTGAAAGATCAGTACTATTCACAATAGCTACAAAAATTTAAATACCCGGGAATAAATTTAACAAAGGAGATGAAAGATCTCTTCAGTATAATTACAAGACATTAAAGAGAGAAATAGGAGAAGACACACAAAAAAATGAAAAAATCATCCAGGCTCATAGTATAGAAGAAACAGTATCAGAAATGCAATTTACACATTCAGTGTGATCCCAATAAAAATGCAAAGGACAGTCTCCTCAGATGTAGGAAAAAAAACAATGGTAAAATGCTTGAGTCACGTGAGCCTTTAAATAACTAAAGGAAAAACAAAAAAAGCCATAGGCAATTCAATATCAGATTTCAAGACATTCTACAAGGACAATCGTAATCAAAACATCTTGGTACTGGCACAAAAATAGACATGTAGATCAATGGAACAGAAAAGAAACCCAAAAAGCTAATACACATATTTATAACCAAGTATTCTTTGGCAAAGGAGCTAAAAAATCAATCCTTGGAGAAAGGACAGTCTCTTCAACAAATGGTGCTGGGAAAATTGGATCTTTGCATGCAGAAGTATGAAACAAGACACTACCTTATACCTTAATAAACATCAACTCAGAATGGATCGAGGATGTATGACCTGAAACCACCAAATTACTAGAGGAAAACATCGGGTAAATTCTGAAAGACATTGGTATAGGCAAAGACTTCTTGGAAAAGTTCCCAGAATCACAGGAAATAAAAACAGAAATAGACAAATGAGATTACATAAAGCTAAGAAGCTTCAACCTGCAAGGAAACACTTTGAAAAGTGAAGAATAAACTGATAGAATGGGAGAAAACATTTGTAAACTATGCAACTAATAAAGGATTAATACCCAGCATCTATAAGAGCTCAAGAAATTCAACAACAAAACTAACAATCCAGTTAATAATAGCAAAGAACATGAAAAGACGTTTTTCAAATAATAATATTCAAATGGCTGAAATGCGCTCAGTATCTCTAAGCATCAAGGAAATGTAAATCAAAATCACAATGAAGTTTCACATCACCCCAATTAGGATGGTTATCATCTCCAAATCAAAAAATAACAAATGTTGGTGAGGATGTGGGGAAAAGGTACCCTAACCCACTGTTGGTAGTAATGTAACCTGGTATAAATATTAGGGAAGAAATCTGAAAATAGATCCAGCATTTGAAAAGTGATCTGTACCCCCATGTGTGTTGCAACTCAATTAGCAATTGGTAAGATATAGAATCAATGTATCCACAAAGAAAATATGATACACACACACACACGCAAACACACACACACACACACACACACACCGTGGAATACTACTTAAGCAAAAAAAAGAAGTCCTGTCTTTACCTACAAAATGGAGCAATTAGAAGCCATTATGCTTACTGAAATAATCCAGTGCAAAAAAAAAAAAAGACAAATATCATATGTTGTCTCTGATATGTGGCTGTTAATATAGAATGCCAAAAATGTGTCGGAATGAAATGCACATCTTATAATATGGTTGTTGTTTTAGCCCTTGTGTATACTCCTGTGGAACTGTGGTCTTCCTACTTTTTACTTGTTGATTATTATGATTAGTGTTAAATTAAGCCTGTGATTACTGATTGGACTGAAGTTAGGTTTTTGTATTAAGAAAAAAATAGGAAGGATCAAGGGGATTCAGGGAGGGAGCTGAGCAGGGAGGGAATTTGGATATCTTCTTAGAAAGTACCTATGAAATATGTGAAATATGTTCTCTTTACATTAATAGAAATAAAAACGATAAAAATTTAATCAAAACACATCCTTTAATTTCCAGACTGAGATAAGACATTCAGAATGTATTTCTAAATATTATGTTTAGAATATATTTTAATAAAGAACCAAAAAATTGACAACCTAATGAAAATAGACAAATGTAAGGCAACATAAGAATTCTTCATTTTCATCACCCAGTGTAACTCACCTCAGAAGGCTTATGTAGAAAATTCTCATGCGCAGTTTGTGTGCATGGAACATCTCGACCATGGATGGTTTGGTTGAGGCTTTGTCCATCTCCTCCTTCATGGTGGACCTCACAAACTTCAACAACAAAAACAAAAAGCATTAATGAGATGTCAATGAGTGTAGTGTGAGTCCTGGAAGATGAGATAGACCCAGAATTCACTGTACTCATGGACCCTTCTGTCTAGGGGGACGTGGGCAGTCAGTAATCTATCTCTTGTATGGAGAGTTCCAAAAGGTGTAGTGGGAAATGGGAACTCAGATGAATTGCATAGGAATAAAGCCTGCTAAAAATTGAGCTTATGAAGGGCAGAAAACATTGAAAAATGATTTACAATATTAAGGGAATACCATGAAAAGGCAGTTGTTTCAGGGTTCAAGATTTCTGTTCTTTACAGTAAGCCTGAAGGACCTGTCCTTCCTTGTTAGAATAAGAGAACCTTAGCCAGAGCAACTAGCTAACTTAGAGAAATATAAATTTTTTAAATATACAAACAGGAGAGAAAGGAATTAAGTCATCCCTGTTTGCAGGTGACTTGATTCTATATGTTAAAAAATCTAATGAGTCCACCAAAAGTCTATTAGATATGATACACAAATTCAATAAAGGTACAGGATATAAAATTAACATAAATCAATAGCAGTTTTATACATCAACAAAGATGCTATAAAATAAATCATAAAAGAAGTCCCATTCACTAAAACTATGAAAAATACCCAGAAAATTTTCAACCAAGGATTAGAAATGTTTTTCACAGTGAAAATGACGACACATTCATAAAAAAATTGAAGAAGACACAAATATGTGGAAATACTTCCCATATTCATGGACTTGAAGAATTAATGCTCCTGTTATCAAAATATCCATACTACCTAATATGATTACAGATTCAAAAGAATTGCCACCCAAATTCAGATGCCATTCTTTGGAGAACAAAAAAAGGCTAGAGTTCATATGGAAGCATAAAAGTTCTGGAATAGCCAAAGCAATTTTGAGCAACAAAGAACAAAGCTTAAGGCACCACAATTCCTGATTTAATGAGCTAATATAGAGCATGAGTAAAATGATATAAAATGGATATATAGACCATAGAACAGAATCAAGATCCCAGAAATGTATTCATGCATCAACAGCCTGCTGATTTGCAAAATGCACAAAATCCATGCATGAGTCAGTGTTTTTTTTTTCTTTTCTGAAAACTACATCCACTTCATTATTTGGATCCAAGAAATCCTTGTCTGAGTATGATAGGCATGTAGCCTCCCATCATTAATGGTGTGCAGAGTTAAAGGCAGTGAAAAGTGCAGGGAATATGTTGATACAGTGTGAACTTGGCTTAGGCAAGTTCTATGAGAGGTGAACTTTACTAACACCTTTAGAGTTAGTTTTAGGCTTTAAAATTGGCTTAGAATTTTACCCTGAACTTAACATGTGACTTACTATGTCAGAAAAAATTGGTCCACTGGCACTAAATTAAAGTACCATAGAAGAAATAAATTCTGGTGTTCTGTTGTGCAGTTGCGACGATAGGTAAGGATAACATATTACATAAAAGTGCTTCAAATGGCTTGTGAAAAAGAAATTAAAAGATAAATTATTTTGATGAAAAAACTTTGGAAATCCATGCATAGTTTTTCCATAATAACATTTTCTATGAGCTTTTTGAAGACTTTTGATATGAATGAATTTCAATTTTTTTTACTCAAATAACCTTATTCTCAGTTCCATTTTCTATAAATTTTTTTTGACAGGCAGAGTGGACAGTGAGAGAGAGAGACAGAGAGAAAGGTCTTCCTTTACCGTTGGTTCACCCTCCAATGTCCACCGCCGCTGGTGCACTGCGGCCGGCGAACCGCGCTGATCCGATGGCAGGAGCCAGGTGCTTCTCCTGGTCTCCCATGGGGTGCAGGGCCCAAGCACTTGGGCCATCCTCCACTGTACTCCCTGGCCACAGCAGAGAGCTGGCCTGGAAGAGGGGCAACTGGGACAGAATCCGGCGCCCTGACCGGAACTAGAACCCGGTGTGCCAGTGCCACAAGGCGGAGGATTAGCCTAGTGAGCCGTGGTGCCGGCCAATTTTCTATAAAATTTTTGAAGTTCAATCATGTATTTCCCAAAAAAGAAATAGCATTAGAGTAAGAATTTTAATATTTTTATAACAAATTAATGATAAAAATTTGAGGAAATAGGTAAGATCATGGTGACTTAAGCAATATACAATGTACACATGTATTGAAACTTCTAACGATGCCCCATTAATATGTGCAGTTATGCTTTACTTTAGAAATGAAATAAACACTTCTATTTCATGGAAGTTGTCTACAATTTACCCACAGCATCATATGTCACCATGAAACAAATGTAAAACAAAAGAAAGCAATTATTATTTCACAAAATGATAGCAATTTATTAATAGCACAATGAAAATTTAGAGCTAGACTGATCAATGAATTTCCCATATCTGTTGCTCATTGGAGTGTGCTATTGTGATTCAATTACTAAAAATTTCACTGATGATGAACAAGGTTGGGTTAGTGGTGGGACAGATGCACTGGCATGCATGTTGATCTAGGATTTTTGAAATTTCAAGAAAAATAATAATAGAATTTAGCATTAAATGGCAATAATAAGGAACCATCAATTCCAGAGATTAAACTCTGACATCAAGATTGGAATGGGGGTGTACACTAGTGGTTAAGATGCCTGCTTCCCTCACTGTCCACTCTGACTGTCAAAAAAAAAAAAAAAAGATGCCTGCTTCCCACATCAGTGTACCTGGGTTTGATTCCTAGCACTGGCTCATTCTCCTGTATTCAGCTTTCTGTTAATGCAGATTCCAGAGGGTCAGTGGTGATGGCTAATGTAATTGGATTCATGACACACACTTGGTAGACCTGGATTGATTTGTGGACTCTTGGTCTCATGGCCATCCCAGCCCAGGCTGATGAAGGCATTGGCGAATGTATGAACAGATAAAAGCTCTCTGTAGGCTATCTTTTGTGGCATTTCCCCCCATATAAACAAGAATATTACTTAATATTTTTTTTATCTTTTATTTAATGAATATAAATTTCCAAAGTACGACTCATGGGTTACAATGGCCTTCCCCCCCACACCGTCCCTCCCACCCACAACCCTCCCCCCTCCCACTCCCTCTCCCCCTCCATTCACATCAAGATTCATTCTCGATTATCTTAATATACAGAAGATCAGCTTAGTATACCCTAAGCAAGGATTTCAACAGTTTGTTCCCACACAGAAACATAAAGTGAAAAATAATAGATGATTTTTTTTTAAATCATGATGAAATCAGATCAGACCTATTGTCATGTTTAATCCCAGTGAGAGTCAAGTTGGGAATTGACAATTTCTTTTTTTTTTTTTTACAGAAGATCAGTTTAGTGTACATTAAGTAAATATTTCAATCGTTTGCACCCCCATAGAAACACAAAGTGAAATATACTGTTTGAGTACTTGTTATAGCATTAAGCCTCAGTGTACAGCACATTAAGGATAGAGATCCTACATGAGGAGTAAGTGCACAGTGACTCCTGTTGTTGACTTTACAAATTGACACTCCTGTTTATGGCATCAATAATCTCCCTATGCTCCAGTCATGAGTTTCCAAGGCTATGGAAGCCCTCTGAGTTCTCCGACTCTTATCTTGTTTAGACACGGTCATAGTCAAAGTGGAGGTTCTCTCCTCCCTTCAGAGAAAGGCACCTCCCTCTTTGAAGACCTGTTCTTTCCACTGGGATCTCACTCACAGAGATCTTTTTGCCAGAGTGCCTTGGCTTTCCACGCCTCAAATACTCTCATGGGCTTTTCAGCCAGATCCAAGTGCCTTTATGGCTGATTCTGAGGCCAGAGTGCTATTTAGGACATCCGCCATTCTATGAGTCTGCTGAGTATCTCACTTCCCATGTTGGATCACTCTCCCCTTTATTTATTCTATCGGTTAGTGTTAGCAGATACTAGACTTGTTTATGTGCTCCCTTTGACTCTTAGTCCTTTCATTATGATGCTGGCTTCATAGAAAGAGTTTGGGAGGATTCCCTCTTCTTCGATTGTTCTGAATAGTTTGAGAAGAAATGGGATTAGTTCTTCTTTAAATGTCTGGTAGAATTCAGCAGTGAATCCATCTGGTCCTGGGCTTTTCTTTGTTGGGAGGGCCTTTATTACTGTTTCAATTTCTGTTTCAGTTATGGGTCTATTTAGGTTTTCTATGTCTTCCTGGTTCAATTTAGGTAGGTTGCCTGTGTCCAGGAATCTATCCATTTCTGATAGGTTTTCCTGTTTGCTGGCATACAGGTCCTTGTAGTAATTTCTGATGATTCTTTTTATTTCTGTGGTGTCTGTTGTTACGTTTCCTTTTTCATCTCTGATTTTATTGATTTGGGTCTTTTCTCTTCTTTTTTTAGTTAGTTGGGCCAATGGGGTGTCAATTTTGTTTATTTTTTCAAAAAACCAGCTTCTCGCTTGGCTGATTTTTTGTAATGTTTTTCTTGATTCAATCCTGTTGATTTCTTCTCTGGTTTTAATTATTTCTCTTCTCCTACTAGATTTGGGTTTGGTTTGCTGCAGTTTTTCTAGGTCCTTGAGGTGCGCTGAAAGCTCATTTATTTGGTACCTTTCCAATTTCTTGATATAGGCACCTATTGCTATAAATTTGCCTCTCAATACTGCTTTTGCTGTATCCCATAAGTTTTGATATGTTGTGTTGTTGTCTTCATTTACTTCCAGAAAGTTTTTAATTTCTCTTTTGATTTCTTGAATGACCTAGTGTTCATTCAGGAGCATGTTGTTCAGTCTCCATGTGTTTGCATACTTTCTGGGGTTTCCTGAGTTGCTAATTTCCAGCTTCATCCCGCTGTGGTCTGAGAAGCTGCATGGTATGATTCTAATTCTTTTAAATTTGCTGAGACTTGCTTTATGGCCTAGTATGTGATCAATCCTAGAGAAGGTTCCATGCGCTGCTGAGAAGAATGTGAAGTCTGTAGATGTAGGGTTGAAAGTTCTGTAGATATCTGTTAGATCCATTTGGGCAATAGTGTCAATTAAATCTGCTGTTTCCTTG